AAAGAAAAACAAATTTAAGTAGTCCTTCAAAAATTACTCTTTAAAAATAAACGCCTTGTAATTGTCGTTGAAAAAATATTCTTTAAAAATAAACGCCTTGTATTGGACCCTGAAAATATATTCTTTAACCAGTAAGGAAAGTAGTAAAGTCGGACTGGGCCGACTATATGATACCCTTCACCACTTTGGGTCTATTGTACATATGGCACTTCCGCAAAAAGGTAAACCAAATTCGAAGAATTTGTTTCTTTAATTGTGCTTAAATACGTAAAGTAAGGGCATAAAATACAAAGAAGGACCACATTTGTCATTTTTTTCTTCTCGATCTTAGCATAAATACTAATTTAACGACTATAAATCCAAACACTGCAGAAATAAAAACAGCAAAATCAAAAATGTCGCGTGAGTGAGCGAGACAAATCCTTCGCAAATAAAAGATATGCCAAATTTTTAAAATTTTGAAAGCGCAATAATAATGCTTGGTATCTCTTATTCATGTAAAGAATATTAAAAGTTCAAAATATTCAAACAATTCGCAGAGTTTTCCCATTATTAGTAGCGATGTCTAAAGTCATGTATATTTGAAGTCGCGTGAGTGACCGCTCTTCTGTGGCTTTTATCTCAAAAGTAAAAAACTAGAGGCTCTCAATTTTTTTACTACTAATAGTACTCCTAAAGTTCTACATAAAATTATTAAGGGAAAATTGTAAAAAAATGTAATTGTTTTCGATTTATTTAAGATTTAAAAATTGATTTTGCCTCTGAAAGTCGTGTAAGTGACTGCGGAAGTGTCCATATCTATACTTACAATGGCACGTCAATGTTAAAAATTTAATTTCAATCGAACACCCGTTCGAAATACATATGGAAGCTATGGCTGCATCTGTACCAATTTCAACAAAAACCAATAACGTCATTCAAGTCTCAATTTGATACGTTGTGCAAAATTTCGTGTTAATCAGACAAACATTGGGAGTTTAGTGCACCATTTATGTAAAATCGGATGAAAATATATATAAATCTGAACGGATCTTCACGAAACTTAGCACACATCATTCTAGACTCAATTCAATACGCTATGTCAAATTTCGTGCAAATCGAAGAATATATAGTGTCTTTGGTGCACCATTTACCCTAAATCGGACGAAAATATATATGGGAGCTATATCTAAATTTGAACCGATTTTCACAATTTCAATAGGGTTCGTCATTGGCCCAAATAAGGGACCTATGGCAAATTTCATCCAATTCGGATAAAAAATGCGACTTGTACTTTGTTTACAATTTAACATGGACAGACGGACGGACGGTCGGATGTGCATAAATCGACTTAAAAAGTGATTCTATGCATATTCTCAAAAGGAACCATGTGTCTATCTCGTTTCCTTTTGCCTGTTGCAAACATATGCACAAAGACATAATACCACAGCGTGGTGAAGGGTATACAAATCGACACTTTGTATTGGTCCCTGGAAAACATATTATATTCATAAATCCATCTTTATAATAAGGACCCTTGTAAAATATTTATAAAAAATCGGCACCCAAAAAATTTTTATTTTAATTCAGTTCTCAGTTATTTTATTACAACAAGAAAAACATTTTATTTAATAATCCCAAAAAAAATGAGAATAATCTCCCATAAACTGAGTTCATTATTGAGAGGTTTTACTGTTATCCCTTTGTATTCTAGGAAATGGTGTTCCCATTCATTTAATTATTGCAATTAAATTCATGAGCGACACAAAATATCAACTGAAACTTCCTACAAATACAATTTATAAAATAAAGATAAGATTAGGATCACATTTATATATTTTCACAGTTGGACACGTGAAAAGAATAAAAAAATACAACAAATTTGCAATTATTACATATATAATTGAAATCAAAAAATTAAAAATGTAATGAAAAAAATCCACGCCAAAAATTACTTATTTTCATAAAAAAAATTAAATATTGATAAATAGAAAATTCACAGGTTAATACATTTTGGGCTTATCTTCAAAATTATTTTTGAGTCATTATTGTCGTGACATGGCATTATAGTCTTTCAGCTGTTAAAAATATAAATGAAAAGCAAAAAAAAAACAAGATCAACGACAATGTGTTATTGGTTTGTCGATATATATGTATATACTCATATAGGTATGTATATTTATATGTTTGACAAATCTATATGATTCATATCACTAATAGATTTATTTAATATTGTGTATGTACGATTGTAGAAAAATATATTACTAATAATAATCTATTAATTAAAATAGCAAATTACGATGTTCATGGCGAATTTTTAAATTTAATTTTACTCACGAGACAAAAATGCTTTTGTAAATGAAAAGGTGAATTATAACCAAATATAAAGAAATTATCAATATATTTTCATAGCCTTAGAAAAACGTATTGAGAAAAAAACAGGCTTAAAATGGTTATTGGAAAAAATATCAAAAACATATTTTAATGAATTTTTAAATTTAATTTTACTTGGGAAAAATGCTTTTTTTTTGAAAAGGTGAATTATAACCAAATATAAAGAAATTATCAATATATTTTACTTGTCGAAAAAAAGGTCCAGTTTCTGGAAAAAGGCATTGAGAAAAAATGTCCTTAGAAAAAAATTGTTGAAAATTAACGCTAATTGCATTGCCTTCAAGTTTATATTTTAAAACTCCAAGCTTAATAATAGTCCTTGAATTAAATATTTTAAAAATTAATCTTTAGTTTTAAAAATACGCTTTTATTAAAGACCTTAAAAAATATATTTAAAAACCAGTAAAGAAACGTAGTAAAGATGGACTGGGCCGACTATATGATGCCCTTCACCACTTTGGGTATATTGTACAAATGTATCCTTACAATTGCATGACAATGTTCCCTCGAAGGAACATACTCATGTCTTTGTACAACCTATGATAAATCTAATTTCATTCGGGCAGATTTAGAGTCGTCTGCGTACGATGGGACAAATTTATGGAAAACGATTTATAGCAAAATTGATGCACGCTATTTAGTATGCCGCACTGTTAAAAATTTAATCTCAATCACACACCCGTTCGAAATGCATATGGAAGCCTAGGGCCGCATCTGTACCAATTTCAACAAAAGTATCAATTTGATACGTTGTGCAAAATTTCGAACATCATGATTTTGGTGAACCATTTAGGGAAAAACGGACGAATATATTTTCCGAAACTTAAAACACATCATTATAGACTCAATTCAGTACGCTATGCCGAATTTCGTACAAATCGAATGATATATAGGTATTTTGGTGCACCATTAACGTTAAATCGGACGAAAATATATATGGGAGCTTTATTTAAATCTGAACCAATTTTCACGAAATTAAACACACATCGTTCTAGCACGCTATGTCAAATTTCGTGCAAATCGAATGATATATAGGTACTTTGGTGCACCATTAACATTAAATCGGATGAAAATATATATGAGAGCTATATCTAAATCTGAAGAGATTTTTAGAAACTTAACACACATCTTTCTAGACTTAATTCAGTATGATACGCCCAATTTTATGCAAATCGAATGATATATAGATACTTTGGTGCACCATTAACCTTAAATCGGACGAAAATATATATGGGAACTTTATCTAAATCTGAACTGATTTTTCCCAATTTCAATAGGGTTCGTCCTTGGGCCAAATAAATGAGTTGTGCTAATTTTTTTTCCAATTCGAATCAAAAATGCGAACTGTAATTTGTTTACAATTTAACATGGACATACACTCGGACATGCATAAATCGACTTAAAAAGTGATTCTATGTATATTCTCAAAGAGAACCATGTGTCTATTTCGCTTCCTTTTGCCTGTTACAAACATATGCACAAAGTCATAATACCCTGTACCACAGTGTAGTGAAGGGTATAATCAATTCTTAAACCGAGCTGTGCTAGCGTGACCATATGGTCTCACTCATAATACGATAAATAAATCATCTAAAAAACATGTACCCGAGCAGTGCTGGTGTGAACATACGGCCACAGCTCAAAAATTGATCCTGTCGATTATCCTGATAAGAAAAAATTTTGAATTCAGCGGCCCACAATCTAGAGAAGCTGAAAGTTTCGTCCCACAATTCGAAAAAAATAATTACAGCAATATTCGGGTTAAAAAGAACAACTGACCCTTAAAAACAGAAAAAAAATATTTAACAATTAATCCTTAAATTAGAAAATCTACTAGTCATTGAAAACAGAATATTTAAAAAATATTAATATTCTTTGGAAATAATATTTATAAAATCCTCCCTATTTGTCCCATATTTTTTTCTTTACAGAAAAAAATTTAAATCGACTCCTTTTTTTGTCCTTGGGAAAAAATATTTAAAAAAACCATGTTTAAAGCACTTGAAAAAATATTTTTAAAAATTCGTAATTTTTTTGCAATTTTTAAAGGAAAGCTCTTTTAAAAACTCACACTTATTCGAAAATAATTAAAAAAATCCCATTCTTTACTAAACTTTAAAAAAATATATTTTTTGTCAGTCTGCAAGAATCGATTAGTTTTTACATTTTTTTTTTGATATCATAAAGGTAAAAATTGTGAATTGTTGCATGTTCTGGAACAGACATTATTGTGAAATTATTCTACTATATACATAGTTCCAGATGACAAAGACTTTTGAACATTCTAGGCATTCTAGGGAATTTCATTCAGACATTTGTTTTCTATAATACACAAATAGCACCAAATGGATTTCATTGTACGAAATTTTCAGTTCCAAAATAAAAAAAAAAAAACATGATGACTTTTTTGGACACTTGTTGGTGTCATTGATACGCCTAATACACACACACACACAATGTGAAAAATCCCTTATAGATGACGTGTTTCATACAAATATAGACCAGGGAGAAAAAAATGTTTTAGACTATAATTATAAATAAATTAATCTATATGTTATTAAAAAAAAAATATATATATATATATATATTGCACCTATATAGTGTATGTAAAAATATGCAACACTTACCGTGATGACTACATCTTTGATGGTATTACGATTTCGTATCACCATGCCCGATAACGGTTTCTTCATATAGATCTTTGGCATATTTATTCACTGGCATCGGCCAAACAGCCGGCAGCTGGACACAGTACTTCACGTTAATGGATTCCGTGTTTATTGACTTTTGTTGTTGATGTTGTCGATTGGTTTTGTTGTTGTTGTTCGAATGGATATTTAATTATTTATTTTTGTAATACAAGTTATTAATTTTGTCACCCGCCGCACTCATAGATGTCTTTTATTATTAAAACACTTGTCGTTGGATTGCAAACCATCAATAAATTTTTTTCTCAGCGAGGGAGCGAGTTGGCAGGCTCTTTTGTTGTGGTTGTATCTTTTTTTTTTTTGTTATAAACTAAGCATGAGTGTTATTATAAGTACAAAATTGTTGTTATTATTGCTTTTCTAAATTGACGACGAGCGGCAATTTCTGTTCATTTATTTACCAATGAACCTAAGCAAATCCAAAAAAACAATTATCATCACCTAGATTAAGGAATTTCGGAAGCAATGACACCACATATTTCAATTCGACATAATGTTTTGTTATAGTTGTTGTTGGAAACCCAGCAGGACATACATTATAGTAGAATTAGTTGTTGATTATTAATCACAATTAAAAGTTTTGTTTCGTTATTATTATTTGTGTTGTGGTTGTTCACTTTCGTGTTTTATTTTTCGTTATGACACTGGAATTATTGGACGCCGAATGTATCGGCCACTGGAAGAATGGAATTTCCAAATTGTATTATTTGCCTCAAATATGGGTTCAAGACCCTAGTTAACGGGTATTCGAAAGTTTTACTGGTTCCAAAGACAGTACACACAATTACGTTACACAAGGGTTTTAGCTTTCGGATTAACTTTTAAGGTAAGCTCTCATAATTATATATAAATATAAAATTAAAATTATTGGATTTGTTTTTGAAATAGCCAAGTTAATTAAAAAAAAAGTGTTTACCAGTTGGGCTTTGTGAAAATTCCTTCGTCAAATTGCATTTGCTTTCTATATTGATATTGAGTACATATTTAGCCAAAATTGTCTTTCCAAAATTCCTGGGGGATACACAGAACCCATAAGCAGATTATTCTAAATTTGAGGATTTGGTCTGATATGTTACACAAAATTAACACTTTTCTTTGTCAGTGGATCTCTTTTATAGCAATAATTTTGATACATTGGTATAAACAGAAATCCTCTGTCCCGAAGAACCTGCAATAATATGCATTCCTTTTTTTTTTTGTCTACGGGAACAGACACAAAACTAACATCTTTCTGGGAAGTGCAAAAATTCTCCATAATGTCATCGAGACCTGTGAATGGCGATTCTTTACAAAGATTCTGGAGTTCTATATGCAACTTTTCGGCCTTGGTTCTCTTCAAGATGAATTGTTGCAAATTTTATCTTTCAAATAGATATCCTCAAATTACAAAAATTCCCAAAAAAAGCATGTCCATAGTCTCCTATAAAAAGATAAAAACATTGCAATAAAACAATTCCAATAAAAACGATAAATATTAATTAGTCATGATACCAAAAGACCCGCCTTCTAGTTGCGGATGGGTCATTTAGTGTGGTGCTTTGGAACCAGTCGAATTCCCGGAAAAGGCACACAGAAAAACCCTCCACTTTTTTCACACACATTTCTGAATTATCATTTGTTTTCTTAATCGTTGTTGTTGTTGTTTATAAAACTTTGGAGCTGGGAACATTTCTGTCATCCATCCAAACAAACACCGTGTATTTACCGTAGCCGTTTTAATTATTCACTTAATTATGCATTGACACAAATCCGACACGTTTATTATGGCAGAACATTACTTTTGTTTTAATTGCATTTATTAACAAATCTTTCTTTATTTTACAATAATTGTTTTAATTTGTTTCTTAACTATTCGCGTATAGATTCCTTCCTTTTTTTGTTACGGCTGATCCAGAGTATGAAGCTGCACAAAGCACATTCTTAACGGCGTCTGAAAATTCTAATACGATTGCGGCGCGTTAGAATGACAACAAAGGAATAAGAACATTACAGAGTTGCAAAAAATGTGAGCGTAGTACACTAGAGTGCAAATATATAAATGCAACAGGATTAAATATTACATTTTTTAACATTTATTTTTATAATAAAAAATTATATAAAGCAAATAAATTGAAATATTTATAAATTAAAATGACAACTCTATCGTTTGGTTTGTTTTGTCAAAATAAATAAAGACGAAAACAAAACAGTTGTTCTGTTTATTTGGTATATGAATATAATAAATATCCTCAATCCTTAGTCTTGAGGATATAAATATAAAATTCCAAGCAGTTCTGGGTGAGTGGACTTTTTCCTATGTCAGTATACACAGATGTAAGTTAACAAATGTTGCAGCCTAAATTCTAGCAGCCAAATAAGACAGGAAATATAAGTTAGTGTCATAGGACCTTAGGAGCTTTGAAGAACTTCTGCGTGATATACGAATTTTTGTTCAACTTTAATGGGTTCCAGGTCACAGTGACTTCATAAGGAATGAGATATCTGACGAACTTGCTCTAGGTGGTAGTACTACATTGGCAGAATTCGTAAAATCTATTTCAAGAATGTTGAAAGTAGTTGTTATAAAGAACCTGCATGCAGAACATAAATCTGACCATATCACCGGTCAGATCTAATTCATTATTTTTTCTCGGTAAGAAAGAGATAAAGCCATCTTTTAGAATCATAAAAGAATTAGACCTTTCTCTTTAAGTGGGGAATCTTTGAAATAAATGCAGATACAAGAATGACACTCTGGCCTTTTTCTCTGACCATTTACAGCTTTGTTGTAAAATTGAAAAATTGTAATGGCTGAGTTATCAAATCTAATCTCCAAACCTTTCTCTCCACTCTCCTTTTTTATTTTTCAATTAGCTCCATTCGAACAACGAATGAGAGAGCGCACAAAGCTCGTCCGTACATGGCATTATGGGATTTACTTATTTTCCATCCAAACAAAGTAGATATTTTAGTTCTAAAATGCATTTATTCTTTATGTATTCGGTAGCGTACATATTAAAAAAAAATATATAGAGGGAACTATGGAGTAATAAAAACTTAACTAATTAACTAAAAACTAAAGTAATTACTTTATTCGTCATCATCGTCCTCATTATCCTCTTCTTCGTCGTCGTCCTCTTCATCATCATCCTCTTCTTCGTCATCATCTTCAGCTTCTTCTTCATCATCATCCTCAGCCTCTTCATCATCTTCTTCTTCCTCATCATCATCATCCTCCTCCTCATCAGCTACTTCGTCTTTTTTTGTAACCTTCTTGGCAGTTTTATCTTGTTTTGCCTTTTTAGCTGGAGTCTCTTCTTCCTCGTCCTCCTCATCATCATCACCCTCCACCAACAATGCTTTACGTGCCTCCTTCATTTGTCGCTTACGCTGAACTTGTTCCTTATCCAATTTCACAAATTCACCAGTCTTGCTCAGATTAAATTGTTCCAAAACTTCATTGGCCTCCTTTTTCAATTTAAGCATACGCTGTTCACGTGGTCCAATAACATTGGGTGTCTCGGCTGGCGGACCAGCCAAATTGGCATAAATGGGCATCGATGATGTTCCCTTGATATCAATTTTCAAATTCATATGTCTAATGTTGCCCCAACCACCAGGGTAGATGGTCTTCAATTGTTCAACAACATGCATAATATTTTCCGACAATTCATTGACACTATAATGGTGATTACCCACGGGAATGGAAATCAAATCACCCTTGGTCAGCTGTCTATAGCCGGTACGTTTTAGGGAACGTTCAACTTCTTGTTTGATTTTTTTGGGATCATTGAGGCGTACAGCATGGAAAGTGGTGCGTGGTTTTTGGAAAGGATTACCGCAGAAACCAACCACGTGACCTTGGATGCGACCATCACATAGGAAATAATCATAGGTATTGGCAAATTTACGTTTGGCCTCGAAGGTGGTGCATTCCTTGCGCAATTGATTAAAGGGCACAATTTTAAGATTTGTAACACCCGCCTCACGGAACAGATCTTCATAGTGTTGGATGGTGGGTTCATAATCAACCTTGGCACCACGTTGTAAATCGGGTACAATAACGACAACATCGTCGTTTTCAGGATTGACCAGGGAGTGCTTGAGGTTCCTATCGAGAGGCAATGGAAATAATCACAAATGAAAACAATTTTTTCCCGATATTATTTGAAATAAAATTACTTACAATTTGACCATGCGTTTTGGACAATTAGCGATTTTATAGCTGCTAACATTTAAGAAATATCTGTAATCGCTGAAAATAGAGGCATTCTTCTTTTCGCTGACTTCCTTTTCTACCATGGTTTTAAGAGCCTTGGCAATTTTCTTGACATTATCTAAATTAACAGCCTTATTGAATTGTTCCTCATCGACGGGAACTGGTTCCAAGGATTCCAATTTATCCTGCTTCTTCTTCTTATTTTTCTTTTGTTTTTTGTCCAGTTGGGGTTTGGTTTTGTTGCCCTTCTTTGGGGCCTTGCCTTGTGACGCATTTACTTTCTTGGTTACAGCAACAACTTTCTTTGGATTTTTGCCCTGCTTCTGGGCTACAGCTGGTTTCTTTTGCTCCTTGACTTGTTGCTGTTGTGGTTCGTTGTTCTTCTTTTGCTTTTTATTTTGCTGTGTTTCTTGTGGTTCTTGCTTTTGTTTTTTCACCAAAGGTTGTTGTTTCTCCTCCGCAGCAGGTTTTTTCTTTTGGGCTTGTTTTGTTGTCTCAGCAACTTGCTGTTTCTTTGCGGCTGGTGCTTGTTTAGCCGCCTCTGGTTGAGCTTTGGCATTTTTCTTTGCAGGTGGTGCCACATTTTTAGTGGCTTCTACTTGTTTCTCATTTTTCTTTCCTTCCTTGTTGTTCTTCTTTTCAACATTTTTAATGGGTTTTACTTGCTTTTCCAACTCCTTGACTTCTTGGACAACCTTTTCGACCAACTTCTTCTTGGCCTTCTTTGCTTCAACATTTGTTGCCGGTAAAGCCTTTTCTACCTTGGCTGGTTTTTCCTTTTTGACACCCTTCGCTTTATTGGGTTTATTAGCAGTATCCTTAAAGGATTTTGGAGCAGGTTTCTGTACTTTTACCATTTCAAACTGTTTTTCAAATATCAATGTATTTTCACTGACTCCACTCCACGTGCGGTTAGGAAACTATAGATAGACATTTGACTGATGTGTTATGTATCGATTTAGTTTAAGTTATCGATTGCTATGAAATACGAATGCAAACAGAGCAAACCTAAGTGGCATGGCAATATGAAGAATTATGTGTTTTTTAAAGCCATTTGTTTAAAGATGAATTTTACAACATTGGTAAGAAAAAATTTATGGTTTGTGATAAATCAATATCTAAATAATATTCCCAACGATACTTTGAAAAGAAAGCCTGACCTCATTTGTAGAATAATTTTAAAAATATGTCAAATGAACAGAACGACTTGTTGCATCTGTTTTCATTTATTCTGATATTATAGGCCACAACGTAGAGGTGTATTTTTTCTTTGTTGACAAAAGATTAAGCCTGACTATTTTGCAAAAACAAAGACAAAAGATAATTTTACCATGGGAAGACCCATATATGTTGGTTTTTCCGCCAAATGGTCGTAGGCTCTTAATGTGTTTTAATCCGAAGATGATTCACTGGATCTATAAGAACGTTATAAGACCAACTATAAAGCAATGTACACACTGGCACTTTTGAGTGGCATATTTTTTATCGATTACTGACTGTCAAACAACCATGAATATTATTGATGTTGTCGGATAAATGACAAAAATGAGAGGCCACACTATCAAACAAGCAAAATTTGTATAAAGGGATAAGCAGAATGTTCGAGATGCGCGTTTTTTCTTAACGCGCACAAAAAGTATGTAGTAAATGGACCATTGTATCATTCGTGACGTTATATGTTATCGAAAATACACCAATCACGCTTGATAACTATAGCGGTGTACACACTATAGATTTAGAATGACTAAGACAGTCATTTTGCTTTATAGTGTAGTTTCTCATAATGTTGTTGGACTGTCAGTAATCAATAAAAATAGCTGACAGCACAAAATGATGGTGTGTACTCGACTTAACAAAGTGTGGGTCTTTAATGATTGCTTTTCTAACGAATGATTATTTTTTAAAGAATTATTTCAGGGCTCAACGTGTTTACTTTAAATAATTTAAATGTTATTTTTTTCGTTTTGTAATCATAAATTTGTTATAGCATATTTATGCTTTTGTACCCCCCCTTGGTTAACAACACAAAGCTGTTATCATTCTTCTATGCATTCCGTGACGTGTCATCAAGTTTCAGTGAATGAATAGTGTTAGTAATTTATCGATACTACTTACCGGCCAGCCAACCAGCCAAACTCTCCTCTCAATAGTCATTCATTTTAAATACCAGAGAACAAACAACGGCCCAGACAACACCGTTTGTGTGATTTGTGTTCAATTTGATGTGGTTTTCCAAGATAAGAATCAATTTTCCGACTAAAAATGGTTCGTGTGCTGTTCCTGCATCCTGATTTGGGAATTGGTGGTGCCGAACGCCTTGTTGTTGATGCAGCATTGGCATTAAAAGTTCGTGGCCACGAAGTCAGTTTCCTAACAAATCATCATGATCCAAGTCACTGCTTCAAGGAGACAGTGGATGGAAGCTTTCCCGTTCGAGTTGTTGGCGATTGGTTGCCAAGGAAAATATTTGGACGTTTCTATGCATTTTGTGCCTATTTCCGGATGTTGTATGCAGCCTTCTTCGCCTCCTTCTATTTGAGTAATCGCGAGCAATATGATGTGATATTTTGTGATCAAATTTCTGTTGGCATTCCGATACTAAGACTGGCCCGAGGCCGTCCTAAAATTGTGTTCTATTGTCATTTTCCCGATCAATTGCTGAGTGCTGAAGGTGGTTGTCTGAAGAAACTTTATCGTGCCCCCATTAACTTCTTGGAAGAATTCACCATTGGAATGTCTGATGTAACGTTGGTGAACTCAAAGTTTACCCTGCGTGTCTTCCAGGAAACATTCCGCCGTTTAAATGTTGTGCCTGAAGTTTTGTATCCATCATTGAATACCAAGTATTTTGATGATATGCAACATAAAATGCATGCAAATGAGGCGAGCTTCTTGTCGGCGGCACCGGTAAATCTACCCAACAACTCCTTTGTATTCTTGGACATTAATCGTTACGAACGTAAAAAGAATCATCCATTGGCATTGAAGGCCTTTTGCCAACTGGGCAAGACGTTAAATGCCAATGATTGGAAACGATGTCGCTTGGTTGTGGCCGGTGGCTATGACACAAGGGTTGTGGAAAATGTTGAACATTATGAAGAATTAAATGATTTGGTAAAGCAAAACGATCTACAAGAAAATGTGATCCTGCTGCGTTCTCCCTCGGATGATGAGAAATTTATGCTGCTACATATGGCTCATTGTTTGCTCTATACACCGGCTAATGAACATTTTGGTATTGTACCTTTGGAAGGTATGTATATGTCGAAGCCGGTAATTGCGGTGAATTCCGGAGGACCCACAGAGACAATAGTGCACAACTCAACTGGCTATTTATGTGATCCCAAAGAGGAGTCATTATCTTTGGCAATGGCAAATTTAATAAAAGATGAGCGTCTACGGGAGCGTATGGGTGTTATGGGCCACAAGCGTGTTCAACAGAAATTCTCATTTGAAGCATTTGCTCAAAAGCTGGATGATATTGTTAATGATTTGACACGAAACTCAACGACTAAAGTTCGGAAATATGATTAAGGCGATAATAAAAAATAATAAATAAATGGAAAGTATTGATGACAAATAATGCCAAAGGTTAATTGAATATTTTGTTTTCTTATTAAAAGGGTGGAGAGACAAAAATGCGATAAAAAAATAAGTTCGTCTGAATATCTACTACTTTGGGGTATAAGGAAGAGATGATTCTAGGATTTATATTATATATATATATATATATATATATACAATTTATGGTGTAGCTTTGGTTAATGGGCAATATGATGATTCATAAAATGAATCAGAATCAGATGACACAGAAAAGTATTTTTGTAATAAAATAGATGTATTCTTAAAATTTTGGAAAAAATATATACATAAAAATATTTCTTTTTAAAAAAAGAAATATTTTTAAAAATGATAAAGCTATAAAAAAACAAAAGTGAATTTTTTTAAAAACTCCCTTTGAAAGCCACCACGTAATCCTAAATTTGTCCCCTTTTTCTTCAATAACATCCATATTCTATTTGTTTTTAGAAATTCTCTTTTATTTTTTTTTTGTTATATCTGAAAACGTTTGCCATCGCAAACAGCAGCAGTACATTGGTGTTATGTTTTTTTTTATTTTTTAATTTTATTATTTTTGTTATGTTAAATATATATAAAAAAGAAGCATTAAATGTTGTTGTCATCGCAATCTTCCTAGACTAGGTGTACCGAACACTCCAAAGCCATTTTCATTTTTGATTCCAGTCCACTCTGAGCTTATTATTCTTCCCTTTTGTAGAGATAAAGATAACCTAAATCTTTTGGTGGATTTTGTGATAGAGCAACCTTACTGTCATTGAAAATAACCCACTGGCCGTCTTTTTTAATGTGACAAACATAATGACCCACTTGAGCGGATGTACCCATATGCGATATAAAGGCAACCAATTTATATTTACCATTACCATCACGATAATTCTTTTTTGTGTTTTTACTGGCCTCATCATTCGTTGATTCAGGGGCTGCGGCTGCGGTTTCCTCACCAATATCCATATCGTCGGCATGAGAAAATATCCAATCGGTGGCACGTTCAACATTACCATCGGTTGCTTTTAGGGCTTTTGTGGCCTGATGTTCATCGAAGCCCATACTCATGAGCATGGCAAGACTTTCGGGGTTGGGAACAAAAACATTCCAGGATTTTGAGGCATTAACATCTGGCACCACAAATGGCTCAGAGAAATCAGCATCACCAATGTGTTCCATTAGCCAATTCGATGCTGCTTCTACACCACTATTTTTGGTATTGAATACAGCCCGCTTGCAGGCCTCTGCGGGGAAACCCATTTGCACCAATGACGACATAATTGCCTCATCAAAAACAAATGCCGGCTTCTCAGCTTCCGTTTCGGGTAACAGCTCTTCAGACGGCTGTTTACCAGTTGAACGCCAATTGGACATATCCAATTCATCAGGCATTTGAACGGCCACATCCAGTTTCTTGGGTACCCAATCATCGGACAAGGTGAATTTACGTAAATGCATCATTAGAAAATCGGGCATATTGACCAAACGGGCAGTTTTTTTGGCTGTGGTTTTATCCTTGATGGCCGTTGAATAGAATTGATCAATAATTTCATCGGCAAAAAATCGCTCCAAGCATGCCTGCAATGGTACCTTGTGACGTACAATGTCCTTGTCATTTGTGGCACCAGCTGGACAATTGGCTTTTTTCTCCAAATATTCCTTTACTTCATCCAAATTGGTGGCCTTTTCCAGAGGAATTGTCAAAGGAAGACAATATTCCTCGCGGCTGGTGTATTTCACTTTTTTACTAGCCATACACTCCACACGTTCCTCCACACCAAATGTTAGACACTCAATGGGATTGAATTGATTGCGTGAATGACGTTCCAAGAGATTAATAAAATGCAAATAAAAATCATAAGCATCCTGCTGTTGTTTTGTGCCAAAATCTGGATGTCCCTTGCCAATAAAATTTTTAAACATTGCCGGTGAAATACCGGTATGCTCTGAATCGAGAGTATTTTCCGATATGCTGCTGTATTTACCCGACCACAAACCATTACCCAGTTTGGCAAGTTGAATATTAAAATCATTTGCTGGATCAGGTGGAAATTCATTGAAATATTTTTCGGCCCCTTGACCCACAAAACGTTTGATGAAATCCGGCAATGTGAATACAACTTGCATAACACTGTTAATGTAACAGGAATTTCCCAAATTACGCATTCCTGTATAACCTGGCCCAGCCAAGGGTTGTAATTCACTATCACTTTCCGTCAACAGCGACCATTCACCAATTCGCTGATTAATTTCCAATTCAAGTTCGACCATTGATTTTTCACTTTTTTTCATGGCGGCCATGTTGATGCCGAAATGGGCCAAATGTTGTTCGAGTTTTGAATCAATAACCATATCATCTTCGGGATATGAGAATACATCGGCTTTGCCGTCGGTGGTTATGGTGCCCAGTTTAACAGCCAAGGGGTAGTTTACTTCACGATAATGTTCCACAGCATGGTCGTTGCCACCGGAACCATCGAAAAATCTACGGCCACACAAGATGGAACCATCGGTGAGATTTAACCACAAGTTATTGGTTAAGTCGCATTTTTCACATTTCCAACCCGAGGGGGGTATCTTTTTGCCATTATTCAATTGGGTAAGAGTTTCAGAATATTTGGAAACCTGACGTACCTCACCATCCCAGGTACCTGGGATTGCATAGAAGGAAAAATTAAAAAAATCTTCATTTTGTATGAAATTATTACTTACCGGTTAATGTTTGTTTTTCTAGTTTTGAAATGGCAGACTCTTGGGCCAATATTGCCTCAACCGACTGAGTCACAATTAATGGCAAGTCATTGTTGGGAAATGGTATTTTTGTTTGTATATCTGGGGCCACAACAATACTGTAGTGATCTTTATATTCATATTTTTTGCTATTGGCATCATTGTAGCCACCCTCAATGCCAATGGCCAGGCGGGTTATTTTACGTTCCGGTCCAGCTTCACCATCACCACTCTTCATTTGGTCATCTTCAACGATGGGTATCTTTTCCCGGCGTATATGCAAAAACACACAATTGCCTGTCTTTTCGGCATATTTCAGTACGTACTCTTCGCCGAAACCCAGAAAGCTACTCAAACTGACATACAGCCCGGTCGGTGTTTCAGGATTATCATACGAATAGACACATTCATCCTTGTAAATGGATGCATTGCCACAAGGTACTTTAATTTTGGATAAATGTTTCTCCATTAGAATTGAATATTCGTTCGTTCTTTTATTTTTTTGCACAGAACAACAACCAATTTTTTGCAAACTCAGAATGGAGATGACAATAACACTTTCGACAAATCGATATCGACTTATCGCTCTCTTTCTCTCTCGCACGCTATTCACTGTAAAATGTTAACACAATGGCGGCAATGCATTTGCTACAGTGTTGCAATGAAAATGTAGTATGGAGATGGTCACTTAACCAGAAATTGGGTTAGTTTTTGATATTCATTTTGAAAAGCATGGGGTTTTAAAAAGGGAAATGTTTTGTAAAATGTAATAAATTATAACAATTTTGTAATATAAAATAAGTTGTGTATATTAACTTTAAATTCTGCAGCATTTCGGAGAATATTGACATTCGCCGGCAATTTGTAAACAGCTAATTATCACAAGGCATTTGGTACGAAACGTTGATCTATAAAACTGGGGTTTTCATTGTTCTGGATATTTAGTGATATTTGGTATGTTCCCGTACTGCAAGAATCTACTATTTTTTACTCCGATAAAACTTTTTTCCTTTATAATATTGAAAAAAAAATAGTAAAAACTCGTTGATTCTTGCAGTACAGGAACAGACCAATTTTGAACTTTGTGGAACTATAAGTGTATTTTTTTAAATATTTTTTTCTAATTAATTTTAACACTTTTTCGAGATAGAAATGTCGATTTTTAATTGTTGTGGGTGAATTTTTTAAATCGCTTCGTTCACTTTTTTTCAAAACTAAACATCCAGTACCTCTTGGAGCCCAGATTAATATTAACAGCGTATAAAAAATAATTAAATAAAACTTCATTGGTTTTGATATTATTTTGATTTGTTTTATTTAGTTGTATGAAATTATATGGTATTGTTGTTATTTTGGATTCATTTTCATCTTCTTCTTCTTCTTCTTTTTATTTTCATACCTATAAATCGAATCGAAATTGTTGTTGTATTTATTAGCATAATATTAACAAGTAAAGTAGTAGGTAGGTAGATAGATAGGTATGTATATATATTTGTATGTAGATTATTTTGAGAAGTTTATATATATATATATTATAATTTAGTTGCTTGCGGATTTATATATTTTTTTAACCCATAAATTTCGATATTGTAATTTCATGTTCATTTGTTAAACGATTTGGTGTGCTATATGTTGGCTTTTATTTATTTGGTTTTTGTTGTTATTGGTGCGTTTGTGGTTTTGTTCTTTTGCCCTTGATGTAAAAAAATAATGTTTACTTTTTGTTCCTATTAACACATAAAAGTGTTATACTGTTATACTCATCTAAAGTTTCATTTGTTTTTTCTTGTAGCAGGGACCATTCTTTCATTTCATTCAGAATCTTAATTTTTTATTCTGTTTCTATTTCAATATATTGAGATTTGTATTGAGATATAAAGACATTTATATAATTTGTAATATTGTGTGTGAAAAAAGTATTTATTGATTATTTTATACAACATTCGCCTCTTTTGTGGTCTATAAAGTAGTGCTTCTTAAGATGTTTATTTGGGTTTTTTTATTCCGTCATTATTTTCTTCTTTTTTGATATATATTTTTTTACAAAAACATCTATTAGTGACTAATGGTGTTTAATTTTTGTTATTATTGTTTGTTTTTATTATAAATATTTTTGCTTGAGTATTTCTGTTTGGTTTTTCTGAAGTTGTATTCTCTAAATGGGAATTATTGAATTTTTGTTTGTTTGTTTTTTTTTTTTTGTTTAAGTACCAAAAGTATATTCTCTCTTTAAATACACATCAGTTTCCTTATTTATTTAGCTTTTCTATTAATTAATTTATCATTAGCAAATACACACTCATAAACAACAATAATTATTTTTATTAATTTACCACATATATTTAAAGTTATATGTTTCTAAAGGCATACAACTTATCCATACATAATATGTAATTATATATATTTTTTGTATATATACTTACTTTTTACTCACAATGCACACATTTCACATTTGTATATATTTACATCATATTTCTTCCTGGTCATTGCTAACTATGAAAATAATAAAAAAAAAATAATTTTTTGTAAGAAAATTTTCAATTTGGATGAGTATTTAAAATCTGAAATTTTGGTTGATTGTTGAAAATACCTAAAATTGCGCGGGGACCCATTTTATGGGGACCAATTATCAAACTGTGAAAATTGTTTGGAAGGAATCTTCTGTTTTTTTAAAAAAAATATGTTTCCCGTGATTAAACTCGCAATTAACATGGGGTGTTTCCAAGTTTTCCAGTAATAAAACGTCGAAAAATAGTAGATTATTTTATTAACTAAATTTCAATATGCTTGGATATTTTATATTGTCCATTGACGTGAATTTTTTAAATATTTCTCCAGCGATGAAATTCATGGTTCAAAATAAAAACATTTCCCGCCATGAAATCTAGATTTTTAATATACTTTCTTTTAAAAATATCTCGCAAGTTTTTTTTGAAAATGTTGAAAAAAGTTTATTAAGGCTTTTGCCATATGCTGGCTTTTTTCAAACAATTTATTCTGAATAAATAATTCTAAAAAATGTGTTTTGTTAGTATTTTTAAACCTTTTTGAATTCTTTAATTTCTATTAAATTTTTAAAAATTCGTTTAGAAAATTATTTTTTTTTCTTAGCTTGGGCTATTATGAACTTCATTTGTTTTTTTAAGAAATCAAAGCTTTTTTTACAAATTTCATTTTTTTAGAACTCGGCTCTAAAACAATAGGGGATCTAGAGTTTTTAGAGGCAACAAACAAATTATATTTCAAGCAGAGGCACCAGACATTCGGAATGCTGTACGATAATTCCATCAACATACATCATTCTCTATTGGAATATTTGTAGACAGTCAATTCAGAATTTGCCAAATTAGTTTGTCTGGTGCGAGTATTTTCCACATGGATCTGAAATTTTCATTTCAAGTTTGGAAGGTGTATGTCGGAACACATCTGGGAGTCGTTAAAGAGGCGGGACATCTTCATGTTTTATCAGGTGGGATAAGACCTGTAAAAAGTCACAGACCTACCGCAAAACCACTCACATTGTCTTAACTGAGATGCAGTAATGCTGGCTACCAAAGTTGATAAAACAAAGAAGATGACTCAAATGGTTTAAACATTTCTCCCACATTAACACATTTTGTCAGAATTTAACAAAGTGTACTAACAAATTATAACAAAACGAGTTATTTAAATTAAAAAAAGAAAAAAATTTTAAAACATGTTTAATGTTTTGTTTTCATATATAGTATTGGTATTTTATTTGTTTTTGTTTAATTTTTTTTTATATGTATATATTTGTATTATGTTAATGTTACGTTTTTTTATATATATATTTATATATTTTGCATATTTCTAGAAAAATTAAAAACTTTGAGTTATTCGAAAAATGAAGAGAAAATAATAAAATACAAATTAAAATTGTTTGTTGTTTCTTATGTATGTGTGTTTTTGTTTGTTTGTAATAATAAAATACTTATTATTTAGAATCACTCAGATAGCACTTAAAAATTACTTATTATACAATAATAATTATAATAATATATATCATTAAAATAATAAGAATGGTACACAATAATATATATAAATACAAAAGAAATAAAAAAAAAATCGTTTACATTGCAAAAAATATTAGAATAATTGTAATAATACTAAAATTATAACTAAAAACTAAAGAGGTTTATTTTTAAACTTTTTTTCAATATTTGTTTTTTTTTCCTATACAAAGCTCATTATCTTAGAAATAATATTAGAAATAAGCTGTAAAAAATGAAAAAACATAAAATATAAAGTTTTCTGAAAAATTGTTCTCTTTGAAATTTAATTTTAAAAATTTTCTTTCTTAACACGAAAAAAATCATTTAAAAGACTAATTTTTACACAAATTGTTTTAAAAATGTGTGTTAAGATTAGAGAATTAAAAACTATGTTTTCCATTTTTTAATTTTTTTAAGATTATGAGCTTTAAAACATGTAATATCCACTCTATTATAAAAAATTTTGGGTAATGTGAATTCTCTCTTTCAAAATTAATGCTATGGAAATTCGCATTCATTATTTTTGAAAGAGGGAATTCATAGTAGGTATGACTGTATATTATGCAATTAAGTGTCTATGTGTGATAGGGTGAAGTAAATTTGTATTTTTTTTTGCAAATGCAAATCGTCGTTTTGGAAACCTAATGTCATTTAGGGTTTTGCGGTCCACTAAAATAGATAGCAGTTAGATTCTAGGATTTAGTCTAGTCTGCGGATTTCTGTCCTTTTTTGCAGTTGGAAATAAATATAATCTTATAGCTATATGACTGGGAGTAAACTTGGCTTTTTTTACTGGCCGGGAGTTTTTAAGATTTGATTTTTTTTAAATTAGAATAAAATAATATATAAAAAATGTGGTTTTTAAAATTATGTATATATAAGTATAAGACAACTTTAAATTGCATCGAAGTAATACTTCTTTAATGTAGAATTTATCTATTTTTTATTTTCACTTGCTTTGCGCCTTATTCTTCTTCTTCTTCTTTGCTACTTCTGTTCCGTTTCAATGCATAAAATAATAGAACCATACTCACAAAAAAAGCTTCGTATTTGTTTCCCTTAATGCTGTCATTACCACAGACGAGGGCGTCACAAATCTCTATTACACTTTTGGTTACTAAACATAGAATTTTAAAAAATTTACATTAGATTTGTTTTTTTTTTGTTTGTTTTGTAATAATTTATAAATAATTTTGTTGCATTTTTTGTTGCTATTTTTTCTTCTACTACTTTTTTTGTTAACTGAGTATAATTTTTGTTTTTTTTTTTTTTAATTTAACTGAGCACACATAATAATTTTTCATTACTAAAAGGTTTTTTTCATTTAATTTTAATTTCTTTTATATTTGTGAATGTGTGTGTGTTTTTTTTTTGTTTTCAATAATTTAGAGTGCAATTTTCAATGTTGACTTATGTTTTTCTTTGCATCATTTTGATTGTAAAAATTTCTTTTCAAATTGTTTCTATTGTGTTTGATTACTCCAATTTGTTGGAATGAAATGAAACAAAACAAAAACACAAAAATAACAACTTTAAACAGAAAATAGAGTCTACTTTTAGGCGCTCGCTCTTATTGTTTGCCATTATTATAATAATCATGGTGGATTGCTGGTTATAGCTGCTCACTATTGAGTTGACTGTGTTGTCTTTGCAGTTGCTGTTGTTGCTGCTGCTGTTGTTGTTGCTGCTGATAGGCAATTGGCCGTATGAGAGCATTAAGGAAATCATGTTGAAATTGCAATTGTTTACGTATGGTTTCTAACCATTCGCGATGTGTATCAATGCTGGCGCCATAACAAATCATATTTATGTTGGGTCGATTTGGATCAATGGATTTCAATTGGAAACGATTGTTTGTTAACTCCTCCAATTGCATTTTATTAAGCTATAAAATAATGTAAAAAATCGGACAGAAAATACAAAAATATTAATATTTTGTTTCTTTGCAACAACAAACAAATATTAAACTAAATTGAAATATTAGCGTAATTTACCTGTATATGTGATCGATAGATATAGGTGGGACTTGAAAATTGTCCCTTAGGATTATGTCTTTCCGTAAAGAAAATACCCTGATCGAATAGAAACACATAGAGTTCACGGGTTTTGCGTTCGGTGGCATTTTTACCCTGTTCCAAACACGTCAAGGGACCATGCAAAAGTAATTTGCCCTGGGCCGTTATATTGCCATCGAAATTTTTAAGACGCCGCAGTACCATAATATCGTTAACATCTTTGCAAATGGCCTGGAAAGTACATAATAAGAAATACATAAGAAATGAATTTTCCATTTTTTTATTGACAAATAGTTTTCAAAGGTTTTTTAATTAATTTGCAAATTTAATAATAATTAATTATATTAAACATATTTTTTCAAGATGCTTCTGAGGCGTGGTTTTGTTAAAAATATTTTTTCAAGATGCTTCTGAGGCGTGGTTTTGTTAAAAAATTTTTTTAAGAAGCTTCTGGGACGTGGTTTTGTTAAAAATACTTTTTCAAGATGCTTCTGAGGCGTTTTGTTAAAAAAATTTTTTAAGATGCTTCTGGGACGTGGTTTTGTTAAAAATGTTTTTTAAGATGCTTCTGGGACGTGGTTTTGTTAAAAATATTTTTTTAAGATGCTTCTGAGGCGTGGTTTTGTTAAAAATATCAATATCCTTCATAAAAATATAATTTTAATTAACCTTTTTTAAACCTTTAAAAAATATGTATTTAAAAACCAGTGCGTGGAGCAGTATAGTCGGACGGGGCCGACCATATGATACCCTATATAACTACCACGAAAATCAAACTTTCTGCGGTTCTATATTCTGAGCCTGGGCAATATTTCGAGATATTTGCACTCTTTTACCGATTATAGATCAACAACTTCACTTTCTAACCCTGGCATATTTTCCAATTTTTTTCTTGAAGTGAATTTTTACGCCGTGAAATAAAAAAATTGTCTCTTTAGGTTTTGGTTGATTTGACCCTCGGAATATTGACCGATCATCATCTAAATAGCCGCTCTAAGTATTTGGTCAGATCCCCTTCACATTGTAAAATATGTGATGTTCTGCATATAATAATTGCCTCTAGAGCGACTAGAAATTCACCCCCTGAATGAAATCTCAACTTTACCGAAAACTATAGGCGTCGTCCTTGACCATAATCGGAAGTTCATGTACAATTTCAAAGCTATCAGCGCGACATTTCCGTCCTCTAATGGAGTAATAGTAATACTATGCACACCTTATTACGTATAAATTCCACATCAGAGAATATGCAGCCATAAGTTTGGTATCAATTTGAAGGTCAACAACTCCTCTTGGATATACTATCAACTTCTCGAGTATATGTCCTTCAGGAGTAAGTATATACGCCCCAGAATAAAAACTTTGTAAATTTTCATACAAAAGTCAGGGTCCATTTGACCCGCTAAATATTTACCGATCTTTATAAAAACAGGCATGCTTATTCTTTGGCACGATCCTCTTCTCCACTTAAAATTTCACAATGTTCGGACCATAACTGCGACCTCTGGAGCGACCAGAAAAATCGACAATAATTAAGTATTTGGTCCATTTCATCCCTTAAATATTAACCGATCTTTACCAAAAACAATAGGGGTCTTCATTGGGCCGAACCTATTCTCCATGCAAAATTTGTTGAAGATTGGTCCATAACTGTGGACTGTATCGTGTTTACAAATTATAATGGACAGACGGACGGACACACATGTCTAAATCGACTCAGCTAGTTAAGATATGACGATCGGTATACTTAAAGGTGGGTTACAAACGCTTGGGGCGGCACAAAGCTATAATACCCTGACAACATAGTTGTGTAGGGTATAAAAATTAGGGACAAAAAATCATAGATGAAAAGCCCTTAGAAAATATTATGTATATATTGGGGACAAGTAGAAGAAGGTCTTTCATAGAAGACAACTTGTAAACCCTCAGCCCTAAGACTAACGGGGCTATACACACCCTTGGTTAGATTAGATCAAAATTATGTATATTTATACCAAATCCAGATCAGGTAAGATCTCCCCTAAAAGGGTTAACATTTCCGATTATTTTAAATTGTATATGAAGTGGGTTGAGTATTCGACTTAGTCCGAATTTTGCACAACTAAGTATTTTTACCAAACCAAAAATGGTGTCTATCAATCCACTGCTTGTGTTAACTCCCTCCTTAGCGGAGACTCAACATTTTGAAAACATGTACAATTGATATGAAGAACAATTAAGTATGCGATTAAGTCAAAACTTTCCATCAGACTATTTATATCAAATCTAGAACAGGCATATTTTGTAACTTGTTAACAACATTCGATATTGAAATTTAACAACACCGAATGTTGTTAATATATATTTTTGTACACTTGAATATATTTTTGTACACTTAAATATTTATATACTGAACATATGTATATTAAGGGCTCCCCCCATTCTCGGTGTCGAAAATTTTATTGATTTAATTCGAATCTACACTAATTCAAGAATGTCCCAAGAAAATTTCAAGTGAAAATCTCAAGAACTTTTGACGATATAGCCGATTTATTGTGTCAGCATCAAGTGACAGCTGAAGGGCTTCTCAAACTTTAAACGCGTTTTTATCCAAACATTGGTTTCCTTAAGTGCAATTGCTTACAAATTTTTATAATATTTCATAAAACATTACTTACATTCATTACACTACAAGCTTCCCGCATGCTGACCACATCTTCAACCATGCCAGCATTTTCAATTTGTTTTGTTATGGTGCTCAATAGCAGAACATATTTAGTTAATCTTTGTACAGGTTTGATGAGCAGATCATTTAGCTAGAATTGAAAAAAAAAATGATTAAAATTTTTAAAGAAATTCCAAACACAATTTGTCTTACCTCCAAACGATGGCCCAGCTTCTGTCGCACCAATTCAAAATATTGAACATGTTCGGTAACAATGTGTTCCGATTTGGGTTTATTGTTGCAATATGTTATGTACATTTGGAATTTGTTTTCATAGCGTTTAATCATGTTGCCCAGCTCAGCGGGGGTATTTTGGCTTTGTATTAAGGCTTTCAGAAAATAGCTAAGTGGTGGTATAAAATTAATTAGATACGTAATAAAATAATTATGCTAATGGCAATAACAACAATAGCAGAATAGAACTCACTCTCTGTGCCATTCATAAATGGCTTCTATATTGGCAAAAACTATTTGTCCTTTGGGTCCTCTTAAGTCATTTGGTAAAGGTATATCACCAGTTCGCAATTCCTTAATGTACCTACAAGAACATATATATGACGTTATAGAAAAAAACAACAACAACAATGATAATAAAGAAAAATAATAATAAACAAAACAATGATTCATACACATTTTGGCGAAAGAAGAGAGGAGACGACCAATTAGATTATGGGGATTTCAAGAAACACAGAAAGAGAGAGGGACACAACAAGCCGGGGAAGATTTTTGAACTTACCCATTAACAATATCACCCAAATCCTTAATGTACGTTTCCTCAGTTGCCAATAGTTCGGCTAGTGCAGGAAATCGATGCTTTTGTATAGAAGCAGACAAATCATAATCATCATTTGCCTCGCCCGCTGCCGCATGTGTTGCTGTTGTTGTTGTTGCGTTTGCGGTTGTGCTATTATTCTATGTGTGGGTGGGTTTTATAGAGGGGGGGTTTTTGCTTAAGTTTATATAAATTTCAAAAATATTATATTTTAAAAATTATAATTTACTTCGTCATTATTGTCGGTGGCATTGCCTGCCGCCGCCGCCGCTGTTGTTGCTGCCGATGATGATGACGATAGCGGGGTTATGTTTGCAGCAGCATGTGTTGTTGTTGCCGATGACGAGTTATTGGTGGCATTGTTGTCACCACAATTCGGATACATGGCATCGATATTGTCCATAACACCAGCAATGCCTGCACAATCATTAGCTGTGTTGCTGCTGCTGTTGTTGGCTGTTGCTCCACTACATCCGTTGCCACTGCCACTTCGATTATTACTACTACATTCACTGAGAATTTTTGATTTTTCCTCGTGTCTTTCCTGCAAGGTGAAAACAAAGAAGGAAAGTGGTGATAAGTAAATTGTGGAAATCAGATTGCGAACAAATTACGTTGTACTTACTGTCTTTTCTTTAACAATTTGTTCGATCTCCGATAGACCATCCATTTTGCCGGAACTGGCCTGTAAAGATAACAAAAAGAGAATGAATAATAAAATTATTAGAAATGGAATGGGATTTATAAAAAAATTTCAGTAATGAGAATAAAATGCTATTTGAAGTCAATTGAGAGAATCTCCCAAAAACCGGTTAGATGTTGATATTGGCATTTCAGAATGGCTATTTGAAATTCAAAATATCTCTAAACATTAATGTGGTTGCCCAAATGGCTACATAAATTAAAATAGGTGCCTTACTCCTTGGTGGACAAGGAGTAAGGCATCTAAGGCAAAAAACTGCAACCTGACTATTTTGCAAAAAATTCAAAAAATATTTTTCAAAAAAAAAAAAAAAAACATAAGCCTAATAATATTTAAAAATAAATTTTAAAAGGCAAAAATAGGAACTCTTTAAAATTTTTTTGAGAATTTTTAAAAATATTTTTTTTAAGTATTAGAATAGGTGTGGATTTTTTTTATAAATATATTTTTGTAGCATAAGAACAGATGTAGCGTGAATTTTTTAAAAAATATTTTTAGAAAATAGAAAATAGTGGTGTTTTTATACCCTACACAACTATGTTGTCAGGGTATTATAGCTTTGTGCTGTCCCAAGAGATGGTAACGCCGCGAAATATTGGTCCGAGATCCACCTTTAAGTATACCGATCGTCATATTTCGACTAGTTGAGTCGATCTAGACATGTGTATCCGTCCGTCCGTCTGCCCATTATAATTTATAAACACGATACAGGCCACATTTATGAACCAATCTTCACGAAATTTTGCATGTAGGATGGGTTCTGACCAATGAAGGCCACTATTGTTTTTGGTAAAGATTCGTTAATATTAAGGGGATGAAATGGACCAAAAACATTATTTTTGTCTGATTTTTTGATCGCTCCAGAGGCCGTAATACTGCGAATTTTTACAAGAAGAAGGGGGTCTGGCCAAAGAATAAGCATGTCTGTTTTTATAAAGATCGGTCAATATTTAGCGGGTCAAATGGACCCTGACTTTTGTGTGAAAAATAGCAAAATTTGTATTCTATAGCGTATAGATTTACCCTGAAGGACATAGAGTGTATCCAAGATACCAATTATATTGTCGTATGTACTTGGATGTGGGAGTTACACTTAAATATTTATAGGTACTGACGAATTCAGATATTATTTAGTAACCCATTACCACACTAGAGGGCGGAAGTATAGCGCTGATCGCTTTGAAATTTTCCATGAGGTTCCACTTATGGTCAAGGACAACACCTATAATTTTCAGTGATGGTCAGATTATAATTATGGAATGAAGTGGACCGAATACATAATTATTTGTGCTTTTTCGAGTCGATCTATAGGCCACAATTGAAAGCCGAACATCACAACACAACCCACGGCGAAGGGAATCTGGACAAGTAATTAGAAGGACTGTACAGAATATCAGTAATATCGGAAAATAAGTACTGTTGACCGCTAATCGGGTAATTTTTTGGTGTTTTTTTTTCGAGTCGATCTATAGGTTACAATTATAAGCCGAACATCACAACAGAACCCACGGTGAAGGGAATCTGGACAAGTAATTAGAAGGGCTGGACCTCTAATCGGACAGGGGGTTCAAATATCACGAAATTTTGCCCAGGCTCGGAATATAAATCCTCAGAAAGTTAAAGTCCCGTGGTAGTTGTGTAGGGTATCGTATGGTCGGCCCCGTCCGACTATACTGCTCCGCTCACTGGTTTTAAACATACTTTTTAAGCCAAACGAAAGGCGTTGATTTTTTTAAAGATTATTTTTTTAGGCCAACTATAGGCGTGAATATTTTAAAGATTATTTTTTTAAGGCCAACGATAGGCGTGAATATTTTAAAGATTATGTTTTAAGGCAAACAATATGTATGGATTAAAAAAATATGTATTTTTTAAGACAAACGGTAGGCGTAAATTTTTTAAAAATTATTTTTTAAGGCAAACAAAAGACGTGGATGAATTAAAAAATATTTTTTTTAAGGCAAATGATAGTCTCATGGATTATCTAGAATGTTGAATTTTTTCAATATATTATAAAATCTCCGATTATCATATTTGTGGTCTTTCCACGCAATATTTCTCATATAGAAAAAAATTTATGTTTCACTTGCACGGAGGGAACTTCCAGAAATTCTTATTGCAAAACAAGAAAATTCCATTGAAAAAATATTTATCGCATCGAAGTAATTGCACCGAATACAGAGAGAGAGAGAGTGATTATTACCAAATAAATTTCACAAAACGTTAAGGAAATTTCACTTTACGCACTTAACACAGCTCGTTCGTTTCACTTGTGGAGGAAAATGTATTTTCTTTTTCGTTGTCAATTCAAGGAAAAATAATTGAAACTTGTTTTGGGGGCTACCACTAACGCGTTTTGTAGCCAGCCACTTGCTGTTGAACGTGTTAACTGATTCGACGTTTAATTGTATTTGTTGTTTTTGTTACAAAAAACAACTTCGTGCTAATGCAAATTTTTCTATAAAATTAACAATAAAAAAAAATCGAAGTAAATATATATATTTTTTTATTTAATAGTTGTCGTGATTGTTTGAGGTTGGGTACGATAATGGGGCTGGTTAACCTACCATGAGAAAGGGAAACAGGCAACTCATTTCGTTTTTAGTATTTTTTTGTTATTGTTGTTATTTTTTATCTCCAAACAGGGAGAGTTAACTTTATTTTTTTTGGGCGACGACACTTTTAGAATTTCGGAGAAGTCAGTCTGGGCCGACCATCGACGTAATGTATGTTTTTTTTGGTTGTGTGTATACTTTAGATAAGACGCAACGAAATATATATTTTGTTTGATATAACAAAAATACAAAAACAACAACAATTTGGCATTAATTTTTTTTTTTTTAATTTCGATACCACTACAACAATAATAAAAAGAAAACACTAATATAGCGCCTCGAAAAAATTATACGACCGACGCGACTTCACAATATCATTTTGCGGTTAATCGAGCAACCGACCGACCGAGCGAGCGAATGACTAAAGGAAAGCAAACAATCTACTGACGCTACACTGCGGCATGAAGTGAATGTTCATGTTCTTGCTCTTCTTCTTCATTATAATAATCATCATTATTGGTATAAAGTTTATATTTGCACCAGAGTCAATGTAGGCTTTTTTTTCATTCTGATTTTTTTCAATTAATTGTTATTGTTTGAGAATACACATGTTTAATAATATTGTGGCTGTTGTTGTTGCCATTCCATTCTGTTTTATACCTGTAGAACTAACTACAGGTGTGTCCAAACATTTGTGGTCGATTTTTTTTCAAATAGATATTTTTTAAGGACCAGTCACTTCTAAATTCCAAGCCTATTTCCAGACCCCTAAAAAATATTTAAAATATATTCCAAGCCTTTTTTTACTTCTCCAAAAATATTAAAAAAAGAAAATTTTAAATTCACAAAAATATTTCTAAAAAGTCCACGTCCATTTTTACTTCTCCAAAAATATTGTTAAACCAGTGAGCGGAGCAGTATAGTTGGACGGGGCAGACCATACGATACCCTACACAACTACCACTGAATTCTAACTTTCTGCGGATGTTTATTCCGAGCCTGGGCGATATTTCGTGATATTTGCTCCCTCTAGGCCGATTAGAGGTCAGCAGCCCACCTTCCTTACACGGACATATTTTCGAATATTACTATTCATATTCAGTACTGCCCTTCTAATTAATTGGCCAGATTCACTTCACCGCTGGGTTGACTAGAAAAAACACACACAATTATGTATTCGGTCCACTTCATTCCATAATTATAATCTGATCACCACTGACAATTATAGACGTTGTCATTGACCATAACTAGAACCTTGTGGAACATTTCAAAACGATCAGCGCTATATTTCCGCCCTCTAGTGTGGTAATGGGTTACTAAATAATAAAATAATTTGTATAAATTTAAAGGTCAACCACTCCTCTTGGATATACTATCAACTTCTCGGGTCTATGTCCGTCAGGAGTAAATACATACGCTATAGAATAAAAAATTTTGTAATTTTTCACACCAAAGTCAGGGTCCATTTGACCCGCTAAATATTGACCAATCTTTATCAAAACTGGCATGCTTATTCTTTGGCCCGATTTCCTTCTCTATGTAAAAATTCGCGATGTTTGGGCCATAATTGCGGCCTCTGGTGCAACCAGAAAATCCGACAAAAATAAAGTTTTTGGTCCATTTCATCTCCTAAATATTAACCGATTTTTAAAAAAACAATAGAATCTTCACTGGCCAGAACCCATTCCACATGCAAAATTTCGTGAAGATTGGTCCATAACTGTGGCTTGTATCGTGTTTAAAAATTATAATGGACAGACGGACACACATGTGTAGATCGACTCAGCTAGTCGAGATATGATGATCGGTATACTTAAAGGTGGGTCTAGGACCAATATTTCGCGGCGTTACAAACTCTTGGGGCTGCACAAAGCTATAATATCCTGACAACATAGTTGTGTAGGGTATAAACATATTGTTGATTAATCCACCCCAATTTTGAAACCAATTTTTATATCCTTCATTACACGGTGGTACAGGGTATTTAGCTTTTGTGCATATGTTTGTAACCGGAAAAAGGAAACGAGATAGACCCATGGTTTCTTTTGAGAATATGAATAGAATCACTTTCTGAGTCGATTTATGCATGTCATGTCCGTCTGTCCAAACAAAGGACAGGCCGCATTTATAATCCGAATTGGATGAAATTTGGCACAGCTAATTTGTTTGGCCCAAGGACGAACCCTATTGAAATTGGGAAAAAATCGGTTCAGATCCCCATATATAATTTCGTCCGATTTTCGGTAAATGGTGCACCAAAGCCCCAAAATATGACCGATTGACTCACAATTTTGCACAACTGCTGTGTAGAAAGTTTCGCTGAAATCGGTTCAGATTTAGATATAGCTCCCATATATAGCTTCGTCCGATTTTCAGTAAATGGTGCAGCAAAGACCCAAAATATGGCCAATTGGCACACAATTTTGC